GGACAAGATACCGCGGTTTCTTCATAACTGAAGGGATGCGGCTTATCCCTATCCTCTTTAAGCCCGAAGGCCTAAACTCTAAGCCCTAAACCCTAAACCCCTAAACCCTAAACCCTAAACAGCCCTAAACCAAACCTAGTATCACACCCTCACCAGATATTCCTTTTTGTAAAATCCAAAGAGGAAACATAGGACTCCCAATCCGCCTTCAAGCCTTTACAACAACCTGCAGCTCCTCCCTCTGCTAAACCTTAAACCCGGAACCCCCAAAGCCCCACAGCCCCACAGCCCTAAACCCTAAACCCTAAACCCTAAACCCTAAACCCTAAACCCTAAACCCTAAGCCTTAACATGGAGGCCAGGGGGCGTGGCAGCGCAGCCTCAGCGCCGAAAGCAGAGCCGCTCTTCAAGGGCAAGGCCTTTCCGGGGTGAGTTTTAGTGAGTTTTAAGTATGGGGTTTAGGGTTTGGGGTTTAGGGTTTATTTGAGTTTAGGGTTTGGGGTTTAGGGTTTAGGGTTTGTCTCGTAAGGAGTCAGACAGAAGGGGTTTGGAGAGTTCCATAAAGGGTTTATCTGGGTTCCACCAGCTAGGGTTCCCGACGGATGCTATAGCGGTTCGGGGTTGTAGTACAGGGATCTGAGCAGTTCGTAATAGCATACCCTTATAGACTCAAGCTAACTTTACTTTAATATATAACAAGGGTTCCACACTCAGGGCTTAAGGGTTCCGTCAGAAGTCAAAGGGTTCTATAAGGTTGTCTCTTAGCGTTTAGGCCATATAAGGTCCCACCAGCAGGCGAACAAAGACGACGGGTTTTGTAGGGAGTCTACAGAAGGGACAGAAGGAGCTCGGCTGTAGGGTTTCGTTCTGTGCTACAGGAGCCTTGTTGACGAAACCAGCCTCAAGGCAGGCTTCTGTAGCTTTTTAGGCCTCTTGAAGCCGGCGTCATAGATATGCTTCATAGATTGGGAATTTAGTTTGGGCCCGTAGGGGATGTGCATTTGAAGCCTCTTGAAGCCGGCTTCAAACTGCTGGCTAAGAAGCTTCATCAAGACCGCCCAGTTGCGTGTGTGTGCTTCGGGCTCTTCGCTTTTGGCAGGACAGTTTGAAGTTTCTTGATTCGTGAGACACCCGTGACCACCTGGGCACATGGCTCTGTGGTTATAATAGAGCGGCTGACTGCAAATCCGCAGGTCCCTGGTTCAAATCCGGGTGTGCCCTCAGATTCCACTTGTGTCTGGATTCTGTGAAAAATAAGACAATCCCTCAGCATGTTGGTTCAAAGCCAGCCCTCACAGTCCGTCTCTCTGGCAAACAAAAACGAACCCCTGACATTTTTGGATATGCCGGCCTCAGCCCTGCAGTGGAGCCAGAGCTCGTCTGCTATCCTCAGACCGCGCGAAGAAGGTCCCGCGCATCCGAACCGCGATGGTCGAGACTTCTACTGGATTCCAATCTCTGGTTTCTCTGCCAGCTTTTACCCAGCCGGTGAAAACGGAGAGTACAGGCAACATTGGCCGGGCAGCAATCACCAGCTCGTGTGGCCTAATGGATAAGGCGCCTCCCTCCTAAGGAGGAGATTGCGGGTTCGAGTCCCGCCTCGAGTATGTGCGGAAAGGACTTGTCCACTTGTCGGTTGAAGGAGTTGCTGGGTAAAGGCAGGTCGCTGAGCACAGGCAGAGCGCAGGAAATGCTGACCGGTTATGTGCAAAACCTGGAGCGATACAAGGAAGATAAATATGGCCCTCACGCCAGGGTGACACGCAGTCGCGAATTGAGCCATTTGGAGGATTTGCGGGTCGCTACCAGGCCGCTACCAAGCCAGGGATACATGTGTCACAAAAATCAAAAGGCCTGCTGTGAAGCAAGGACCCGATTTGTACCTTGAGCCAAAATGGCTACGGTGCAGGCACCATGTGCTATGTGCTCGACACAGCTTTTGCCTTCCGTCTGAATCTAAACTTGACACATCTACGCACGTGACTCAGCTGCCTGCGGGGTCAATGATTGGGGATTTGCATTTGATGCCTCGTTGAAGCAAGCCTCAAACTCATGCCCAAATAGGCATACACCCTAACGCGGGGGGAATTGAGTCCGCGCCCGTAGGCCTCGGTGAAGCCGGCTTGAAAGCGGCACCTCGTAGGGCGCATGAAACATGCCTGAAGCCTCGTTGAAGCCGGCTTCAAACTCATGGCGCAACAGCTTCAAATATCACTATGACATCGCGGCCCGAGGCCTCGGTGAAGCCGGCTTCAAAGCGGTACCCCGCAGGCCTCACCAAACACCGGCCAGTATTGGGGATTTGGAGTTGAAGCCTCGTTGAAGCCGGCTTCAAACACCACCCTGACACCGGGGCCACGTCTAATTGGCATGTTACAATGCCCAAGGAAGAATGTCCCGGGCGGGTTGGGACAGGCAGAAGCCCCTAGCATGGCTGCACACATGTTGCCTGGTGTTGACAAAGCTGATCTTTCAATAAGAAACTGTCCAGCTTCTGTCGTGGTGAGCGACTTGAAGCGAGGCTACAAGGGGCCTGTGGCCTAATGGATAAGGCGTTGGTCTTCGGAACCAAAGATTGCAGGTTCGAGTCCTGCCAGGCTCATGTCTTTCTTTGACTGCTTCTATCGCACAGAGTCTGAATGAGTTTTATCGTGAACCGAAAAGCTGTGACAAAAACAAGAGTTTTAGCTTTGGCACGCTAGAAACCAATGTTTGCGTGCACGCGAAACTTTATAGGTTTCGGGGTCGTTCACAG